CCGGTTTAAGCTGCACGGGGGGGGGGGGGGCGTGGCGGTTGTGAGGTATACTTGTTCTCCTCAAAACTGCCAACTGTTGCACGGCATGTGCCGAAGCATCCGTCCATTCTCAACTGCCAGCAGACTATACCGTACAAACAGCCGACTGTCGGCAACAGCTGCGAGTGTAGCCCCTTGTTACTGCACGGTTTCTGTGGATGTATGTATGCTTCCAGCACGGGGGTCTTCCTAGGATGCAGGAAACAAGAGGAAGGGTACCGAATACATAGGGGAACATCAGACACACTTGAGGAGGTCTTCGCGCTGGTCAGTGTTGGTGCTGTGGGCGGGAGCGGTAGCCTGGGGTCGGGAAACAGAAAGGCAGGGTTGTCGAAACTTATTAGGGGTAAGCCACACACACACACACACGCACACACTGAGGCCCCGCCTGCCCGCTACGTCGAGGTGGTGAGTGCTTTTGCGGTGTGATAAACTGTGTCCCCTAACTGAGCGCAGCTTTCACGGATTGAAAACAAAGACAAGGAGGGCCCCATGTACACGTATAATCCCAGCCTAACATCGTTAGTCGTGGAAGGCTGCGTGCATGCGTCTTCTACGGTGCGTGGTGCCATTCCGGGATTATCCCCTCCGTGCTCAGGCGGCTCTCTCTCAGTAGGGCTTCCTCCCCCGTTGTGGGATGCGTGGTGAGCTGCGTCGTCTTCGGCGAACGAGGCCCCACATCTCCTCCTCGGTTGTTGTCCCTGGCCTGTCGTCGTCCGGCGTTGTCCCCGGCAGCGGCAGAAGGGGGCGGACGGGCAGCGCGCTCATCTTCGTACCGGCCGGCGTCCAGAGTTGCAGATATCCATGTCGTGTGCTTGGCCACCCTGAAGGCTGGTAGTCCAACTGTGAAGGTGGCTCAGAGCCGTTGTGGCCATCGGGATTTGGTCCCCTACTAAAGTGGGCCAGCTGTGCTAGCAGTTGCATCGCACTGTCGATGTGGTGTTGGTTGCTGTGTGCTGCGGAGTTGTTGGGGGATGGTTCCGTGCCGGTGGCGCCTGGCAGGGGGTTCCTCGCTGGCGTTGGCCTGCTTCTCCTCTGTCGAGTAGGGGGATTCCTGAAATCTTACCCCCTTCGAGTGGGCCAGGGTCCCTGGCTGCGAGCCAACAATCGGGTCCGCATCCAGCTTCTCGAGTGAAGCTCTGAGTTATGCCCACAAAACGGCCATGGGTCGGTGGCTGTGGTTGTCGCGGTTTGGGTCCTGCTTGTCGCAGGCTTGCTGGTGGTGTTTTGGGGCCAGGCGCTCTGGAGGTTGCTGTGGTGGGGCTTCGAGTCCTGCTGACGGGAGGTTTCCCGTGCTGGGGCGCTGTGCTGCGGGGTCCGGTCGTTGGTGTCCCCTATGCGTCTGGGGTATGCCTGCACACGCTTTCTCTCTTTCTTTCTGCGGGGCGTAGGGCTCGATCTCTCGACCCTCAGGCCTTTGGCCCACCCACCCCAACCCCCTGTGTTAGTGAGTCACGCTTTGTCTCTCCCTCGCTCTCTCTCTCGCTCTGCCTCTGCCATTGCAAGCAAATCATCTCGCAGACTCCACTACACACAGCGCGTGTTAGATAGTGCATATATTTCTTGTGATGATACCTTTCTGAAACCAAGGCTCAGGTGTGGGGCTGTGACCTCCTTAATGACGTCTAAGTCGATCAAGGTCTTCCAATCTTCCTGGCGCAACAGGCGTGGTCGAAAGGTCCGCGACTTCTCGACATCTTTTGCTTGTGCCATTTTTTGCAGACTTCCTCGTTCCGTGGCGAAATAATTTTCCAGTGCTTTGGGCAATCGTTCTTGGAGGTGCTCTTCCTCACATCTGCGCAGCTGCCCACACACTTCCTGAGAAGCACGAAGGACAAAAGGCAAGTACTCAATCTATCCTCACAGCCAGTTGCATCTGGTTCATCTGATCTGGACACGCAGGGATGCAGAAAGATGCAGCGAGGTTGCTGCAGGCCACCCGGTGACCATTTCTTTCCCTTGAGGTCGACCTCTGTGCCTCAGAACTGCAGCCTTTCCGTGAAAACACTGCGATTTTAGATGCTACGGAACATGTAGATGCCGCATGATGCCGCAGTGTGTTCACATTGGCCAAGGACTGTATTCTTAGCAACCATCCCAGCCCAAAGCCTTCTCAGACTCTTGAGACTCCAAACCCTCTAAAGCAGCTCTCTGAGTTTTGCCCGAGGCTCACTTACAAGACTTGCCTTCCTGCACAGACTCAAAGACGTCGTTTTCTGTTGACACGTTCTCCTCCACACTTCTTTGAAGTGCAAGTCGAGACCACGTTGCACTGAAAGCCACTGCAATCGCAGTCCTTGCGCACGACGCTTCGAATTTGCGACTCTCCCTCCTTGGATCACACAGTTCCAGCTGAACCGTCCGTACTCCAAAGTACGGCAGTTTTCTTTCACCTGAGCTACAGCTTGTATAGCTATATATATATATGTAATATATATATATATAACTGCAAGCCAGGCATCTGCCAGGATGGTCGCCTCCATATGGCCAGGGGAAGCATCCGGATGGGACACATCAATGGCGCAAACACGCCCATGTATCGCCAAGGCTACCAAGAATCTCACCTGAGCGCTGGCGAATGGCAGTCTCCACTTTTCTGGTCTCGGACATGCCCAGCGGCAGAAAACATTGGAACCGCAATGTGACGGCGTGGATGGATCCTTAGCTTTCGATGGACAACCGCTCAACTGAACACAGGCTGACACGAAGAACCTGCACCCGATGCAGCCAGCCGTCCCACGGAAAACAGCGTCCTATGCGCCCCTCTTGACCATGGGTCGCAATTTTCCGCAGTCTTGAGCCAAAACACGGCATGAAGAAATGAATGGCATGAGCACGTAAAGCAAACACACAAGGTCCACAGCATATCAAACAGCACCCGAAAACCAGAACGATCACAGTCTCAAGTGGATTAGCCAAGATGCCTTTGCTGAAGTTAGGAGTGTAGCCTTGCGGAACACTAAGCCGGTCGGCAAAGGGCCAGCTCCTGGACCATCGAGGGACACTGGGCCAGCAAAGGTTTGCGAACTTCTGCACTGCACGACAAGGCAACACAAAAACAAGCTGCTGCGCCTCTTCTTCGCCTGTGAGACGAGCCTCATGACGAATTGGTTGCCTAAGTGATTCACGCGACGAGGGTGTACCTGGCTACGTGGAAGGAGGGCATTCCCACACACTGACAGACTTCCTTTATCTTTTTGCTTCGTCTTTGGCGCACCACCATGCGCACGCTGACGGTCTCTGGTCTTCTTCGTTCAAACAACTCTGCAGCTCTCATGCAGAGAGGACGGAAGTCCTGTCGGTGTGAGACTACAGTCTGAGTCTAACAACGTGCGCGAGAACGCTACACACTGTCGAGCAGGAGCCTCGACTGAAGCGTTTCCCCTGCCCAATGAGCCTCTGTCCAGCTGCCCCGACTCCCCGCATGTCGAGACAAAGCATGAACGATGCAAAGGATGGAAAGGAGGAAAAGGGAAAAAAGTGATGTCCCCCTCAAGATGCCACTCGCAAGAGCATGCAGAGACTATGATTGCGGCCTGGGGATGCTTCAGGTTTAGGGACTGTTCGGCGCTGGAGCTCAGACTGTCCAGTTGACGCGCGTGCACGCTTGGCCCGTCGGGCGAAATCAAGCTGGCGACAAAAACAACCTCTCCTCTCTCACCAATCAAGGGCTTGGGCACCAAGATTCTTGGCTTTAACTGGAAGATGGATTGGATGCTATATGTGTCGACACATGGGGCAGGCTGTTGCACTTTCTGAGGTAGATAACTGCCGCCGAGTGGCACAAAACCTTCGCCTGCTCTCGCAGTGGCAGTACATGAGGACCAAGCTGCACCTGGAAACCCGAACACAACTTGCAGCTGGTCTGCACGGTCAGCTTCGGAAGATCTGAAAAGTACGAGAAAGCTTGTGCCAAGGTGGTGTACATGCCGTGCGTCGTTGGGACGCATCCATGTGTAAGGCATCAGAGTTCATTGTTCGGATGCCCTGTGGAGCCAAGATGATAGTCGGTGCTGACTGGCTGTAGCTGCAGTCGAGATGCAAAGTTCTGCCGCATTGCTCTGCCGGCGACTTTCACGATGTCCTTGTCAGCAAGGCACCCTCTACACTGACTCTACACAGAATGGACTCCTCATGACTCTTCTCCAGCACTCTGTGCATCTTGCTGTTGAAGATTTTGGAATTTAGGACTAGGAAGGTCTGAGCACCAGAATGTGCCGCGCAATCCTATGACAGACGACATTTTGCTCGATGTCTCTGCCGGCAGCATGGCGTCTTAAAGTCAAGCGCTGTACAGTCTTGACAATGGCGTTTAATGCTCAAAACATGTCTGGACGTGGCAATGAGAGATCGAGCTTCTTTCAAGCTGATCGGGCAAGCAGCCAATCTACTGCTTCGTCTGCGGTGCTGCAGTGCAGCAGGGCCTCACGGATTCCTTCCTCAGGGAAGCCCATGGTTGTCAGTTCGGATGCCAGCTTTGACTGTGGATCCTCCTTTCGCTCTGACACGCCTGCCGAGCTGGCGGAACCGGCTGCCACAGAGGCTGCCGCTGCCGGCGCTGCCGGCGGCACCGGGCTCGCGCCGCCGAGCGCCTCCAAAAGGGGGACCTCAAACAGCGCTTCCGAGGTGGTGGTGGAGAGCAGTGCGGAGGCGAGACTCCGAGGCCGCTCCCGGCTGTCGCTTGCCACTGCCGGTGCAGCCGGTGCAGCCGGTGCCAATGCCGGCGATCCCTGTGGCACGGAAGGCACGGAGTCCGCGAAGTCTAACATCTGCTGCAGGTGCTTACGTGCCTCCGGCATCTCAGCATCTTCAAGCATGCTCGATATGAGGTTCCGGACTGCCACCATCCGCATATCCGGGTCTTTGGTCCAGGTGCGCTCATGCAGAGCGTCGGGTCGCGCGTCCACGGATGACTTGGGCTCTGGTGCTGGAACGGCTCCCTTCGATGGGACGGGACCCGCTTCCTGCGTTCCGGCCAAGCTGGGCAGAGCAACAGCGTCGATGTCCTTAGCTTCGTTCTCCGCATCCAACCACGGGTGCTCAAACTCCAGGAAGTGGGCAGGATTCTTCCGATAACAACGGCGGCCGTACGGGCAGACCGGTCGCTCTTCCAGGGCAGGGACCTCTGCTGGTGTCAGGCGCGCCTTCTTTTCGGGGGGCACAGGGGGTAGCATGTCGTCGAAGCCGAAGTCATCCAAATCCTCCTCCGCCGTTCCCCGCTGCATCGCATCCATTGCCGTAAGCCCGCGCTTCAAAGCTGGACGGGAGCCAGACGCAGAGCCAGAAGCCCCCGAAGCCTCCTGCGCCAATGGCTCCACCTGATCGAAGAGGATGGTGTGTGTCCTTTTCATCGCTCCAGCTTTTCGAGGGCCAGGAGCCACGTAGGTAGAACATATCTGTGCCCACGTCATGTCGTTCCGCTCGCCCACTAGCGTTGGGAATCTTGGGATGTTGTCTTGCGTGAGCTCTTGGTAGCGATAGGTGATGACGGAATTCAATGGCGGAGGGTCCCGCCTCTGTGCATCACTGAGCCCAGAACCGACCTTAAAGCGCCGCTTGTCAGGTGTTTCACAGAGTAAAGCGCCGCACATCCCCGCCACCCTTCCTGTACCACCTGCATGTCCTACAACAATGCACTCTTCATCGTAGAAGGTCTTCACCTTCAGCAACGACTTCGATCGGCGGTGCTCATACTTGGATCCGGGGCAGCGTAGCATGAGACCTTCTCCGCCACGCTTCTCGATCTCTGCCAGAGATGAGTCGAGGTGTGCTCGGTTTGTGCACTTCTCCATCGGAACCGGCTTCAAAGCAGGATCTTTCGCGATCGAAGATGCACAGATGCGGCGCACAGCATCCATACGAGCCTCGAAAGGATTATGTTCAATGCTGGCTCCCCCTTCCTCCAAACAGTCGAAGACCATGTATGTCAAGAACTCCCATTCGTTGTGGCGGCCAGAACTCCGAACAATACCCGATGTCTTTTGGAACTGACCACGCCCTCCCCAAATCTCCCCATCGAGTACGCAGCCTTTTGGCATCTTCTTCTTGAACCACTCCGGGCAGGCGAAGGTGTTGTCCCCCCGGGAACCAAACTCTCCGTTCCGCCAAACTGCCCTCACGCCATCCAGCTTCTCTGACATCCACCATCCTGTGGGATCCTCATTCTCCCATTTCTTCGCCAGCAGGACATCGGACATCGCGACAAAAGCACCGGAAGCTCCGGTGCAAGTATTAGTATAACTACGAATAAACACGGCTACATGTTTACAGTAAAGTTGGAACCTGATATACGCAGGCCTCAAGCAAATGTAAAGATGTCATGCGCTTGTATGCACACCGCCTCACAACAGCATCTGTGCACATCTACCTCATCAGCTGTACCTACGAGGCAATGTCTGTGTCTAGCTTTCTCTCTCGGTCTATGTGTACATACATGCATATATGTGCATATGTATACATTACACACATCTACACTGCTACACATACGTGCACAAATGATTACGATGGACTTTGTCGATGGATTGGCCACTGGAGAGCTTGAGGCAGCTTCGCAGTCGCTCGGAGTTGTTTTTTTTTGTGATTTCCAAGAGCCCCGAGACTTCGCTACAGCGGCAACCCGATCCTGACAATAGCCATGCTGAAAGACTATAAGGGCGATGCTGATGGCAATGTCACTACAAGCATCTACGCAGCTATGCTGAACTCCGTAGGCTCACTCAGGAACGCACCTTGGACAGCGCCACGCCACCTCGGAATGGCAGATGCTTGTGAATTCAATAGTGCGCATCAGCAAGGCGAAAGTTTAAGCCTCTGGCTATTTCCTTCATTGTCCTCCTTCTGAAAGACACAGTTGTAGGAATTGTCATCTGAAAGATGTGTGCGGAAGGTATACAGGAGCTTGTACCTCCAGGCTTGATATGCCAGTGGACGGTGATGACTCGCCTGCTGTACATGCTTCCAGGGCACTTGGCCCGCATCGAATCAGACATCCGGCTTGACAGCATTAAGGCGCATCCGCCACAACGAAACAGGGTGTTCCTAAGATGCCGGAGAGAGTACAACCAACTAATAACACGTAGATGGATGGGTAGCTAGATAGATAGATAGATAGATAGATAGATGTGGTCTGGTGGCTTGCGGAGATCCAAGGCTCTGCAGGAGCATCGACTTCTGATTTCCTCGATAAAGATTTTGTGTGATGTTCCTAAGTCGCAGAAGCTCATGTAAGCACTGCCGCACCTACCTACCCAACCCACGGCACCTTCTTCCCAGTCCAACAGCTTCAAAGCGAGACAGGCAGGCGCAGCAAAAGGTCGGGGAAAGATGCTGAAACATGCTATCATCTGGAGTACAGCAGGTGCCGGCAAGAGTCTCCGTGGAGACTACCAACGCCAGAGAACCTGGCCTGTTCTCCAACAGCTGCTTTGCAAGGTCCACAGAAATCACCTTAGCCAAGAACCACATGCGAGGAGCTCCGTTCACAGCCGGCCACTTCTGACGTTCAGCGCTGGGAAGCTCCGTCTCCCTGGGAATGGAACGTTTGCAGAGCAGCCCATGCCGCCGAGATTGTACGACCGTATGTCCTGCCACAGGGATCTTGCCAACGTAAAGCTCCAGCAGAACCTTGCTCAGATGGAATCTCAAACCATGGAGCAACGTGACCTGCCGCAGGCCGAACTTGTTGCACACCATCGCGCAAAGAGACGGGGTGGGACAAAACCTGAAAAGCATGCATCCCAATCTCAGGCCCATGGCTAATGCGAGGACTGAGATCTGATGTGATAAGAGGCAACTACATATCCTACAGCACCTAATGGTGCATCATTCTGTGGTCACATGATGCTGGCCCATCCTCCAACATGGCGACAAACCGTAGTACACATTCATACTTTTGTGTATATGTATGTACAAACGATACGTAGTTACAAACAAACATAGACAACATGTATATTGTGTATATCTACACACATACATTATTATCATTATTATCAATAACTATGTATTCTTGTTCCTCTTAGTAGTAGTAGTAGTTTTGTCACCCACTTGGCACGTCAACGACAGCACTGCAGGAGTAGTAGAAGTAGTAGTAGTAGTAGTAGTAGCAGCAGCAGCAGCAGGAGTAGGAGGAGTAGTAGAAGTAGAAGTAGTAGTAGTAGTAGTAGTAGTAGTAGTACCAGTGGCAGCAGTGGCAGTGGCAGTGGTAGTGGCAGTAGCAGCAGAAGAAGAAGAAGTAGTAGTAGTAGTAGCAGTAGCAGTAGTCGTAGCAGTAGCAGTAGTAGTAGTAGTAGTAGTAGTAGTAGTAGTAGTAGGCCTAGTAGTAATCGTCCTAGTAGTAGTAGGCCTAGTAGTAGTCGTCCTAGTAGTAGTAGCAGTAGTAG